GGAAAAACGATCCAAGGGGCAGGAACCCCCTAAGCAGTCAACAAAGCCTGAATGTGCTCTGAGGCCACTGGATGCTGCCTGCCTGTGTTGGAGGGAACAGAAAAAGAGGGAATGGACTGGAGGAACCGAGCGAGGGCACATGCCGTTCTGGAACTGCCATGTTTTGTGGCAGGGCCTACTTGTTGTTTAAAGGGCTGGGGGGCAGGCAGGAATTTAATTTTTTTCTACACAACTACTAAGGCTACAGGGAACTTTTTCACTGGGCTGGAAGTTCTAAAAAACCCCCAAATCAAGCAAGCGCTCAAAGCTCTGATATTGGAATGATATAAAAACTCACTGCCATTGTATCTCAGGTAGCAAATAATGCAAAGGCAACTTTGGACTAACCCTTATATGCGAGCATTCTTTCCTTGAAGAAGAAAGAAAGAAAGAAAGAAAGAAAGAAAGAAAGAAAGAAAGAAAGAGGGAAAAGAATATCAGAATCAAGGCATGCATCTGAGGTGGTTTGAGGGGCAAGTGAAAGTAACTGGAAAGGGCCATGCACGACCTGTGCTTGAGGTTTGTGCAGATTGCTTTTTTATTATATTTGGCCTCCCTGATGAGTTTTTGCAATCTCTAAAAGGTTTTCCATTCACAGCATATTTCAAAGTGATTTATAGGGGCAGCCCAAAGCCTGGAAGGTTGGCGTTGGCAGCAACATTTTCCATCCTTCAGAGTTATTCAAGTGCTTTCCTGGGCTTTATTAACTCAGATCTAATCCTTGCTCGATGCTTCAAAAGAAGCAGTGGATGTGAACCAGTGCCAGGAGAAATCCAGGCTGCCAGAATTTACGAAAGTCTGCGGAAAACAAACCGCTTGGCGAATGTTTCTTCTTGCCTTCTTTTGCTCTTTCTTGTTCCTTTTGCAAGGGATCAGCTGATGAGCTCATGGGGAAGTGGCAGCCTACAGATATCATGAGGGTTTTATGTCTACCAACAAGCACGCTCACTAAAGAGTAAGTACCAGGACGGGATGGTGAAGCAAAGGCAGGAAAGATCTGGGCAGAACAATTTCTAACACAGCAGAATGTGAAAACGGAGGCCTTTATTCATTGTCTCCAGGAGTATTGTTGGCTTTGCTGTGGATCAAAACAGACCCATTAGCACGAGTGTTCTGAGCTTCATCTCCTGCAGCCAAGCTGCAATTGTTGGCTTGTTTGCCAACATTTTGAGAAAGGCTTTTTTTCCCAAGTAAAATGTCAGAACTGGAGGCGAACTGAAAAGACTTACTTTTACAGCAGGTAAAAGAAAGAACGATCCATGTTCAGTGACTGTCCCAAGCACAGCTCTGAACGGCAAGTAAGTGTCACATGCTCCTAAATATCTATGTCAAATCACCTGGGCTTTGGATTTCTCCTCTGTGCGGGTGACACTCAGCTTTCGCTCTTTTGCGTCAAACGTGGGTGAGGCAGGGCTGACCTGTCGCACTGAGACAATGACGGCCTGGTGGAGGGCCGACACACTGAACTTCTAATCTATTCTGGGAAGTAGAGGTATTGCAGGTGGGTGGTTTACTGGTCCCGGGAGGTGGTGCTCGTTCTGTTTTCTAAGGCAGCTTTGTGGGGGTGCTCATTGACCCAGCATGGCCACTAGAGCCTGATCGAGCTAGCCTAAGGTTGGGGTGCTACTTGTTCCCTTCTTGATATAGGGTGGGCACAGTTATCCTGACACTGGTAGCTAGAATTGGGACGAACCCTGGAGGAATCCGTCCCTCTAGGATTCACAGGCTTCCTTTTGTGCTCAGCCAAGCCGAGCAGAGGCGTGTAAATGCTCATGGAAGCAAGGTTGCGCAACTGGCAACCTTCTCCCAAGTCAGGTGCCGCCCAAACGGTTGCCAAGTGTGGTGCAGAGAGGCCGGCCACGTGAGGGGTGGAGCCCTGTGGGACTGCCAACAAACGCCACGTGTCCAGAAAGTGTGGTTATTTCCAAGTACAGCTGTGGGACCACGTGTTAGGAACACGTCTTGCCAGCGTGTGGAAAGCATCACTCACTCCCTGTCTGTTTCTGAGTACAATCCAAAGTGCTAGCTAATGCTCACCTTTAAACTCCTCCCTGGCTTGAAGAACAGGTACCTGGGGGAATTCCTCTCCCATATTAGACTGCTGTTACATTAGGATGGCCTTCTTTGCAGGTCCCTTTCTAGGGCTTGGAGTTGAGGCACTTGGCAGCCAGGGGCAGGGCCCTCGCTGCTGTGGCACCCCATTTATGGAATTCTTCTTATATTATATTATATTATATTATACATTATATAATACATATATACATATAATGTATGTATATACATTATATTATAAGCATAATATATTAATGCTTACATTTTTTATGTTAATGGTGCCCTCATTTTTGGTGATGTTTAAATAGCCACCCTATTCACATCCTGGGCTAAGAATCTAAGAGATCTGGATAGAGTCAGGAAGGATGCTTGGTGGCATGAGAATTAGTGGAGCAGCGCTTAAGAGCGACTTTCTCTCCAAAAAGGCGACATTGCATTCCATTTTAGCAGCTGGATGCTGTTTTGCGCTGCAGCGCTGAGCCACAGGAACATTCTCCAATAGTGTGAAGTACTTTGAACTGCTCATGATTTTGTTCTTTTAAATTAATGCATTTGGCTGTGTGTCTTTTAAACCTTTGTTAACTGTCTAGGGAGCCTCTGCTGTTTGGTGGCATAAAACTGAAATGAATTAATGAATAAATAAATACTTATTTGGATTGGGGATTGGGGGCAAAGAATTATGCCCTTTTCAGAAAGTGGGGCTGGCAGGAGGTTTAGGGGAAAGAATTTGTATCCATCTGCAAAATAGCTCAAAATTACCTGGCAAAAGGGCTCGCCATACCACAGTTATGATATGCTGCCTGCAGCCAGCCAGCTTTCCCTTTCCTCCACATGAGAAATCCAGAAGTACCAGAAAAGCAAACAGTTCAGCCCAGCCATACGCAACATCCCACATGACTGCATCTAAAGACATTTGGCAGAATGATTCTCGAGCTTCCTAATGCAAAATGGGGGAAGAAACCAGAGGCAAATAAAAGGAAAACTTAAGTCCTTTTTTAATGGTTTCCATTTACCTGCTTGATTGACTCATGAATGGCAAGGAATTGGTCTGTAGCTGCAGAGTTGATCTGTTTGTCCTATAGCCCGTTCCCTATTAGTTTGTCCGGATTTCTGAATCCCTCATTTCTTTGAATTAAGACGATGGGGTTCTATCCAGGTCAGCTTTTACTATTATCATTCCTGCAGGAGCTTGCCAAGTTTTAACAGACTTGGCCCTGCTGCAGAATTCGCACCTGTATTAAACCCTGCCCATCCCTCTTGCAGAGATAAGAGTCACCTGGGCAGGCATGCTTCTGCTGAAGTTGTTCTCCTGAGGGATGGGCAGAAAGTAGGTCTCCAGGGATCTGGGATTTCAAATCCCAGCATTCCTGGCCATTGGCCTTGCTGGAAGGGGCTTCTGGGTGGTGGCCTCCTGATCTGCCCTCCTGGGGGCACATGGAAGCATTGCTCTGTGCCCAGCAGCGGGGCCTGATGTCAGCAGCGTGCACGGGGCCAGGAGGAATGACGAGCAATCGGGAGTCCTGCAGGCTATGCTTTCCTCTGCCTTTGGAAGCAACATACTTCTCACTAGAGGCTGCTGGGGAACATGGGTGGGAGAGTGCTGTTGCATCACGCCCTGCCTGTGGCCCTCCCAGAGACTCCCAGCTGGCTGCTGGGGAAGCAGAGTCTTGGGCTTGGTAGTCCTTTGGTCTGACTCAGCATTGGATGGAGGATCTGGGAGAGCTCAGTTCTAGTCCCTACTGGACCATGAAGTTCGCTGGGTGGCTTCGGGCCAGTCGGAGGCTCGCAGCCCTACCTACCCCACAGGGCTGTTGTTTCCCCTTAAGAGAAAAAGGTGGGGTCAAATGCAGTGTGGCCACAACATATTGTACACTGCCCAGACAGCTTCGACTATGGGCCACTATGAAAATTAAATAAATGAATAACAACAATAATAATCTCTTGATAATGAAGTTGATGCCCAGCAGACCCCTGTTAAATATATAGTACACACATCTCATACAACTCCCCATCCCAAATACATCCACGTTATGTTCTTCTGAGAGCAGGTGAATTTTATAATCTCCAAAATGGAGGATCCGGCACCCCCCACTTCTTCCCAGCATAATCAGAGACAGCAGAACTTTTCTGGAACGGCCACAAGACCCATCAACCTGTAGATTTCTCCGACACAATACCTTGGGACTCATCCAAACTCGCAGACAGCATGGCGTCACTCCCTCGCCTTCACCTGTTCCCTTCACCCAGCCCTAACCTGCCTTTTATAACACCTTTCCCGGCTGATGAAGAGTTCTGGCGATCTCAGAAGCTTGCGCAATTTGGGGTGAAGCTTTGGTTGGCCCATTAAAGGGATTACGGCAACATGGATTTTGGAAACTTGACTTTGTGTTGTTCTAATGCTCTGTTGAATTAGCCATAGCATGTGAGCTTTGCAAGCGGTTTCAGAGCTGATACGGCAGGCGCTGGACTCGGTGTCTCTCTGCCCCAGTTCCTGAAGACGCAGCAGCTGGTGATGGCTGCACAGTGCTGAGGGGAAGGCAGGCTGGGGGCCCTCTTCTCTGCTCTCGCTAGGCATATTAGCAATTTTTTTTATTTATTCCGATTTTTATATACTCTCCTCCATAACCCATTTGGCTTGCTAAATGGCTATCTGGAGTTCCAGGACTGAGCCCGGGCATTAGGCCCCAATTTATTCCAAGAAATGATAGGAAGTGCGCTCAGACAGGCTAGCTTGAAAATAGCCCAGTTACTTCATGCCGCTCTTGTCCTGCAAAAGCTGACAAGGGCTTTTTCTTCTCCAGCAACTTCCTTCCTCCTTCTCAAGAAATCATCACGGCAAAATGTGCAGCTGGGGACAGACGATGGTCGTTGCTTTCTTCCAGAGAGCGGAAAGTGTGACTCGGTGACCTGAGTGCTTGACTGGCACTTGGGAGAGCCAGAGCTATGGCTATGCAGCGCACTGAAGAGTGACTCTCAGACCAGCGAACACCACAGGGTTGCGGCGAGGATAAAATGGCGAGCAGGAGGATGAGTGTGCACGCCGCCTTGGGATCCCTGCGAGAGGAAAAAAGCCAGGCATACGTAAAGTCTTGTCCCTTATCTTTGTCCTAGAATTGCTTGCAGACAAGTAGGACTGCCAGGTTTTAGTAGTGCTTCAAAACACTGTGCAGCCTGTCTGACAGGAGCTGATCAGGGACCTGTGCCAGCTCCAGGGCTGGGCAGGGTCCCTCCCGCGGTGCGCCTGCCTTCTCAGCACCAGGCTCACCAGCGCCTGCTGCTCCGCAGCCCCTTTCCCAGGCTTGGTGCCACTGGCGGGCTTGGCAGGCAGAGAGATGCGGAGCGAGGGGCCCATGCCTTCTGCGCGTCCTCCTCGCCACCGGGCCGGAGCAAGTGGCAGGGAACAAGCCGGCTGCTCCGACGGTGGACGAGGCAGAGGAGGCGCGAGCCCAGGGGCTTTTGCCCGTGGACCCCTGGGCAACAGGCCCCTGTCGGTGCTTGGCCATGCCTGCCCTTGGCCCCAGCCCTGAGCACAAGAGACCAAGGGGAACCTGTGCGCATTTGGATTCAGCAGTGGCAGCCACTCCAGGTGCAGTATTCTGATGTTCCCGGGATCCTTCCTGATGGACTGGAGACACAGCACTGTTCTCCCTGCTTGGATTGGGGCAATTTGTGCCGCACGCGCTGCTTTGCAGGGAGCTTGAAGGCTGCTCAGCTGCGGTGGCCGAATTACTCTGCTGCCTGGCCTCCCTCCCAGCCTCCCTCCCTGTGCATGAGGAACTCTGTGACTGGAAGCTGCAGGGTGGTGCTCGCTCTCTTTGGCACTTAGACCGAAAGTAGCAAACTTGCTGCTCTTGAGAGGCCCTGAGCCAGCGGTGGAGGTCAACATTAACTGCTTCTTCCGCTTGAACTGCTTCTGATCAGCTCTGGCAGACGATCTGGACAAAGGATCTGGACAACAGGTCCATGCAAACTGGGAAACTGGTTTCCATGAACTCCTGCAAGGGGGTCTGTATCAGCTCTTCCCAAATTGGGGCCCCACTCCCATCATTCCCAGCTGAAGACGTCGCACCATGCTGGGGAAGACTGGTCCAGGTTTATGAATTTGCGTTGGTGGCTGCCATCCCCATTGTGGGGATGCGAGGCTGCAGCTGGCTTGGCTCGCCAGGCCCCAGAAGAGCTGCCCTTCACCTGCTCGGGCCTCACGTATGATCAAGGCTTGTGGTCCTCCTGCCAATCCTACACTTCGCACCACACCCCACTTTTCCACCCCTTGGATTTCTGGGCGGCCCTTCTGCAGATGTCCCCGGGGGTGTTCCAGGCACCTACTGGCTGGCACCTCTGCCATTATAATTGTCCAGAAACAATGCATCACGTATCCCATGGATCACGACCAGCTGCATTTTATATGCGACATAATCCTTTTAAAAAACCTGCTTACAAGGAAATCGTTCTCCTGCTGCCAGATCAGGAGTGATGCACCTGACCTATGGGGCCTTAGCCACAAATCCATCTCCCATGGGGCTGGTTCTTTTCCCTGCAACTGTGCCCCATTGATGGCAAATGGAAGTTTTTCCTCCTCAGTTTAATTGCAGTGTAGAGGGAAATTTTCCAGAAGGATCATAGCAGGCCAGGGAAGGGTCCCCCCCCCCATGTGACAATACTCCCCACAAAGCGTCCCCACCACACAGCAGCGAAGGGCAGGCTGGAAGGAGTAGGAAATGGCAGCCGAGCAGTTTTGTCAGGGCTGGGTAGGTGTTCCAGGGAAGCTGCCAGTGCACAGGGACTGGTTATCTCTCCCTTCCTCCCCGCTGGCTCCACAGCTTTTCACATCCTTTGCAAATTAATTGTAATCTGGCTACAGGGCTAACACGATCTGCAGGTGTGGTGCAAGCTAGTTAAATCTTTTATTTTATTTGGTGTGATTTGGATGGGGAATTGCTGGCTGGCTTTGCCTTCTGTGCATTTAAATATATTCCACTAATCATTGTGTCCTGGAAGCATGGGTCTAAATCTTTTAGGGTGCAAACCTAAAAAGCGTTTAGACAGAAAGAAAGTCCCATAACTACCCATTTTCCAAAGCCAGCAGGCAGAGAGTACTGGACGTTGTAGGACTTCTTCTCTGCATTAATACACCCTAAAGTCCCAACACCACTTCTGACTGTGTGGGTTGCGTTCTTTCCTGTTTTTATTCCTAGCCAACAGAACATGAGCAAGGGATGATGGGGGGTCATCACACAGATGTGAGGCATTGCAAAAACAGCTCAAGCATCTCTTTTCCTCTTTCAGAGTCTTAGATGCACTTCTGACTGTTGGCTCTGAAGCGAACATTTATGATTTCCAGGGCCAATTGCTCCCTTAGGTGAGTAATGCACAAGCAAATCTTGGACCCAAAGCTTTGCCAGTGAAAGATGTAAACAGCTAATCTTGCATCACGTTCTGACACAGGACCTTTCGCTGAATCAGCAGGGGGAATCAAGCCATCCAGATGAGACTTCTTTCCTGCGGTTGTTTTTCTTCTTTGCAGAGTTTGGCCGGCTTCCTCGAGATAATGAAATCATGAGATTGGTATCGACAGCTCATTGGCTAGCCTCCACCGGCGCAGCGAGAAAGAGGAAGACTGGGCATGCGCACTTCCTTCCCTGTATGTTATGAGCTGGAACTGGAAATAGGAAATGTGCAGACAGGAGTCTCCAAAGACTGCACTGGGGGGGATGAGAAGCGTGGCCAGCCATACTATTAGACCTGTTGATTTAAGAAACTGTGGCTTAGTGCATCCCTTCTAGCTCTAGAGAAGTTTTTGGGGTGAGTCAGGACAAAGGGGGCAGGTCAAAAATCCCAGCATCTTCTAGTGTAAAGCTCTTACTGCCAGTAACTCAGCTTTAAGAGAAGGGCTTCAAGTTGTTGAAAGTATGTGTTACATTATTAGTATTACTACATTGTTGTTGTTGCTGTTGTTGTTGTTTGTTAGTCATAAAGTCATGCCCAACCCATCACGACCCCATGGACAAAACTCCTCCAGGCTCTCCTGTCCTCCACCATCCCCCGGAGTCCACCCAAGCTTACACCCACTGCCCCAGTGACCCCATCCAGCCACCTCATCCTCTGCCGTCCCCTTCTCCTTTTGCCGTCAATCATTCCCAGCATCAGGCTCTTCTCCAGGGAGTCCTTCCTTCTCATTAGATGTCCAAACTATCTGAGTTTCATCTTCAGTATCTGACCTTCTAAAGAGCAGTCAGGGTTGAGTTGTTGTTGTTACTACAATGCATTTATATCTCACCTTTTTCCTCTTGTGAGGAACTCAAGGCAGCTTATACATCTCCACAGTATTCTCACAACAACCCTGTGAAGTAGGTTGCCCAGAGAGTCTGAGACAAGCCCAGGGAGCTTCACGGCTGAGAGGGGACTTGAACCTGGATCTCCCAAGTCCAACATTCTCACCCACGGGCACACTGGCTTTTGCTTGGAAAGTTGGAGAGTGCATGAACATCTGGAAAGCACCACATGACCAGGGGCTGTAGGAGAGGAGCTGGAACCAGAGAAAGGGGTGGAGCTATCGGGGAAACCTTGGAGAGCCCTGTTGGGAGGGCCATATCTAGTCCTCAGGTCTGGGGTTCCCCACTTCTGCATTAAGCGTCATTAACTGTTGTGACTTCATCCCTGCAGCAAAGTGATTTCAATTTTCTGTGGGCAGGGCTCTTGTGACGCAGGCGCCAGGAGTGGCACGGGCAGCGGGAATGTGCACTCCGGCTGCTGAGAATCAGGAAAAAGGTTATTCGAAGTCCTCTGAGTGCAGCTGCACTGCAGCTCTTGGCCTGGTCATTCTGGGTCCCTCTTTCCAGTCCTCTCTTTGAAGGCCCGTCTCTTGGAAGGCGTCCTCTATTTGAAGGACTGTCTTGCCCATCTCTGCATGTAGATAGACAAGGCACTGTAAGGAGAACTATTATGATAGGACAATAGAACTGTTTCTATTTAAATTACAGTCATTACTGCCAAAAGCACATCAGTTCATATAAATTAACACATGCTGTTTTTCAGGCAAACTGGTGTCCTCTTTCCCATCTTATGTGGTATTTTGGCCTCATGGCACACACTGTTGTCCCAGAGGTCACCCCTGCCCCAGGACAGACTCTTCTGGTGCTGTGCATCACTGAACCGGGCCAGCCTGGCCCCTTGGCTGCCAGAGGCGAAGGGTAAGGTCCCCCTCTGCCCCTTTGCATGCCCAGTGGCTGCCAGCAGGATATTGTCCCCCACCACAGCCAAGGGCTCCGGGCGAAGCTCAGGGGCCACAGAGTCTGCTCTTGAGCAAGCCCAGCTCTGCCCCCCACGCTTGCCACCTCTCCATCACCTGCCACCTGAGGCAGGTGCTTCAGGTGGCCTCACAGGCAGGCCAGCCTTGCATCTTACCATGCGTAACATAAACAGAGCCCTCTGTTCGACTTTCACTGTTCATTCAGTCCTTGTAACATTTCCTTCCCATCTTTACCTTTTTAAAAGATATTTTAATATCTAATCCCTCCCATGGATGCCACTATAACCTGTCTGAGTAAATTAATTTGATTGGAATTTTAAATTTGTAATAATGTATAGATTTATTGGTTTATTCATGTTTTAAAGTTTTATGGTTAATTCTTTTAATATTGTGAGCTGCCTAGGGGTGCTGCTAGCAAAATAGGTGGCATATAAACTCTTAAATAAATAAATGCATCTTTGGAGGTCATGCAACTTTTCTAAAGAATGAGTAAGAGAATTTGGAAAGCTCTGCCTATGGAACTTGACTGTGCTTTTCCCCTGGCACTTAAGACACGTTCACCAAGCTTGCTTTCTTGCTGACAAAGAGTCTGGAAATGTAGGTGTTTACCTGCACACCTACGGCAGTCATAAAACACACCCTACATCATTTGAGTCCGCTACCCATTCCCTGCCCCCTGATGCTGGTGTTCAAGCTGAGAGCCTGTCCTCTGGTTCTCCGGTGGGTGGGTGGTTACAATGGGCCTTTACAAGAAGGAACAATGTGTAATTGTTTTGGAAGTAAACACAGAAGGGAACAAAGACTTCGATGGGGGAGGGATAAGAGAGGGAGAAGGCATGTGCAAGCAGCCTTAAACTTGCTATATTGGCTCCCTGTGTAACGATCAGAACCTGAATGAGATGCAGTAAAACGGGAAATGCCAGCCGGTCAGCAGGGACAAAGGTGACAACCGTGGCGGGCAGCAAAGGAAGAGCTGGCCAACGGAAAGGATGGTTTTAGACGGTTAATTGTGCCGTTTTGACTGATCAGCTGAAACATTAATTGATTTTTAAAGCAATTAAGTGAAAGGAGCCAGAGCAATGCATCAGATCCTAAACGCAGACAGCCAAATGACTGGCTTCAATTAATTTGAGTCCTGATCTGGAATTATATTATATGGATTGGCTCTAGTCCAACTTCTCTTTGCTGTGCACACTGAGACTTGCAGAAATGAGGGACAGAATTTTCTCTGCTTCTCTGCTCCCACACTTTCAGGTGTCCGGCCCCAGAAGCACTGGCTAGCTGGATTTTGGGGGGATTCCAGGGACCTTCGGGCTATGTATTGAGTGCTGGTATTATTATGCAACTTCGTGTTACTGCAGAATTGAACCGGGCTTCTTGTTTAAAACTCATACTTGAGCATTTATAGTCTGTTTAGCTATTCTTGCCTATGCAGATTATTTCAGTTACAATGTTGTATGTGAATCATGTCCCTTTCTGGGCACTCATAGCAAATTATTAGTTTTGCTTTTCCTCTTCCCTGTAAGGTAGCCAGAGGAAGTGTTCTTGTACCTTGCATGGATGCGCAGAAGATGTTTGTGTGTTGTCTCATGCCTCTTACAACCGTTTCTCTCATGCTTCTTGCAACCGCCAAAATCCCTTCTTCTGGCCATTGGTTGTAAGCACGGCTGGTCATCCTCCAACTGGGAGATCGCAGGCAGCCTTTCCAAGGCTCACCGGAGGAAATCATACTGCAGGGTTAGGGTTGCAATGTGGGCTTTTTGATCTTTGTTTGCACGCAGGTGTGCTGTAATTACCTGCTTATTACAGGCCTGACATAACTACTGTTCTGATCACTTACAGGGAAGCATATTTATATACTTGTTTATTACATGTCCACCTTGTCCAATAGCCAAAGCTCTCTGAGCAGTTCAGCACAATTAAAAACATAAAAGACAGCATCAGATGTACTGTCAACCTTTAAAAGTTTACAGCTACAGTATAAAATAGAAGTAAAAGCTTTCCAGCTGTACAAAAGTTGAAATCCGGTAAAGACACAAATCTGCGGCCTGCCAGCCGTGTCTGGGGGTGCGGTATATGATGACTGGGGGTCCCAGCCCTGTCCCCTTTGCAGCCAGTGTGGAAATAATTCTGCTGGTTGCCTCTTTAAGGTCAGAAAGGGCATCTGTGTGTGGGAAGAAGGGAGGCTGATGGCTCTGCTGTATCCAAATGGCACTCCCGCCTCATCCTCTTCTCTCTGGCTTCAGCTAGACTGCCAAAAGTGCCCTTAGGTGAATTACAGGACGTGAGGTGTGGGGTGGTGGATATTGCTGGATGCATCTCAGTCTCCTTGTTTGGAAGTTTCTGTGCGTGGAGGATGAAGGACTTTGGAGCACACCCTGAAGATTCAAAATAACAAAAAACAGAAGACTAAATTTTCTGGGAAAATAGAAAGCCCTTTGCTGGATGAGCTCAGCTGCTTCCCCAGTGGAGGTATCACAGCAGCGAAGGGTCTCTTAAGACCAGCAAGGGCAATGTTAGCATCTGGACAGGTATATATGGGAAGAGCCGATCATTCAGAATCATCATCTTCATCATCTCCAGCTGATCAGGCAGGAAGATAGTGGTTCTTCCTGTCTTTGTTTTTACGTTAGTCCACCAGTGTGCTAAAATCAATATATGTCGGACAAAAATCAAGATACGGGATGCTGCCCCAGTCTTTTCAGCCAGCTCCAGACTCCGGGACGTCTTCCTCATCCTTTTGCTGTACATTCACCACACAAAGAGCGACTGGGCAAACCTGTTTCCCTCCCACAGGGCAGATCCTCTAAGCTCTCCATTCGGAGGTGATCTTGCACTGATTGCATATTAATTCTCAGTCGTCCTTAATGAGCAAGCCACATCAAAGAGGGGAAGCTTTGAATCACAGGCAAGCACAACTGTAACGTTCCGTTCTTCCTTCCACTCACACTTTGATCAGTGTCCGGAAACTTTTGTACGGTCAGTTTCTTTTGAAGGAGTAAACACTGGGTATTTAGTAGGAGGATATAGTAATAATTGTAATAATTGTTTATTCAGTTTTAGAGTTTAAGAATCAACACTTGAAGATCTGAAGCAATCAGAAACAGGATTAATTCCAAAGAAACTAAATCATTGCTTTCAGCAACCGGTCCATAACTCAGAGGGCTAACGATTCCCTTTCAGTCCTGCTATCTGAGTCACCCCAGGTGACCTTTGAGCATTACCAAAGTGCGGATCTGATAAGCATTTGTCTGCAAAGCAGGCAGGGTCACTGCTCAGAGAGCAGTGATTGGCCTCCCCTCCCTGCTCACTCACAAGCGAGGGAGTGGACCTGGGTTTGTTTCTACATGTTGCATTAAAAGGCCGTGAAATAGCCTCCTGGAATGCCGGCAATAGGACGAGTCTTGTCTTGTGGACTCAACATCGCTCTCTTAAAGGAAATAGTAGTTCAAGAGTTAATAGAGCAACCTTGCAGTCTCAGGGGCAGCACTGCAAAGAACTTGGGCTTGTTCAGAGTTCCACTCCCAAAGCTGGAGACATTCTGATGACACCGGGAGGGAGCCCTGCCTTCCTGTCCCTTGCAGCTCCCACTGGGAGAGGAGTGCGGGCTGCTTGCTGAGATCACAAAGGCAGCCTGGAGGAATGGCAAAAGTAGCATTCTGGCACACAGGGCCTGGAAGGAAGAAAAGAGGCTGCGATAGGGGAAATCCTATAGGTTCTCCAGCCCCAGCTTAGGGCCTGGCAGCACAACTTCTGTTGTTGTTGTTTAGTTGCTAAGTTGTGTCTGAC